TGGTCGTCCAACTGCGTTGATACTCTTGCGATTCTTGTCATCCTTGTCGTAGTGCTGACGGGGCTCTTTGTAATCGTCCTGATTTGACGATCTGGCTTTCTTGTCGCGTGAAGACTTTTCGTCGGCCAACTTGGCCTTGGCCTTCGCTGCCCGATCCTCCTCGACTCTGATGTAGTCGGTTGCCTTGTGTAAAGCATCTTCGAGGGTTTTGGTCTTTCCTGTCTTCAATCGTTCACAGTACGACGAATCATCCCTCAAATTCCTGATAAGGATGTTGAGGGATAGTTCGTCCGATAGATTGCACCGGGAGACGATCGATCGGAACCGATCGATGAAATTGCGCAGCGGCTCGGTGTCGCCCTGGATGCACGCCCATAGATCGAGCGTTGTGGACTTCGTATCGATATAAATCGAATAATTCTTAAGGAACCGAGCTGTGAGCTCCTTGTAGCTATCGATGAAGTTCTTGGGAAGTTGCGAGAACCAGGTGAGGGCGCTTTTGGAGAGCGTATCCACGAAGTACTGACAGAGGCATACTTCCCGCTCCTTGTCGGTGAAGCGAGCGCGTCCCAATGACTGCGTTGAATACGGTCAGATGTCGCTTCGGGTCTGTCGTGCCGGTGTAGCTCGGAGGTAGCTTCATCCGACCTATGTCCTTAAGAGGAGCATTGGTGATAGCCGACGTGAACGGGGTTTGCTGAGTCTCCTGGAGGATTTTATCCAATTCTGGTGCTGAGGTCGTCGCCTTGTGGATCTTGCTGTGGATATCGTCAAGGCGTTGGTGGAGAAGATCAAGTTCCGAGGTCGTCGTCGGGTCGGTACCTGCGGTATTGCGCGAGCATTCAAGCCCTCCACCTGTGCTCTCTGCAGGTCGTCTGTCGGTGTCATGCCGAACAGGTTGTTGACCAGCCTGGTCGTATATGTGTTGCGGATCGGAGGGCGGGGGGGGGGGGGGATTAGATCCGCCTGCTCTTGGGTATGAATCCTTGAGTTGAGAATCCGATCTAAATCTTCTCGGTAGGCAATCTGTTTGGCACGGAGGGATTCGAAGCGAGCATCCATTCCCTGCTGTAGCTGTGCTGCGACCGACCTGATGATGGTGGCCATGTCGATAGGAGGCGGTTGTGGCAGGTTGGTCGTGTTCGTTCCACCGGTGCGGCCGACCTGATCTGTCGCGCCTGTCGTGTCTTCTTGCTGATTGGTCACATTGATCACGGGGAGTCCAGTGACTGGGTCGACGACCGGACCCTGGGCATTTCTCGTTGGATCGACAGTTCCCCCTGCAAGCTCGGTTGGTCCTTCTGTGAGGTCGGTGGTGTTGATCGGTGTTTCAACCATCTTCGAACTTCATTCTAAGTCAAAGATTGTTCTCTTATTCCCCACAGACGGCGCCAACTGTAAAAACTCAAGTCCGATCTACGAAAGCATTAAGGTTTGTGGGTTTAAAGAAAAGTCTTTTATTAGAAGAAGTCGGAGCTTGAATCAATACACAGAGGTTTAGGTCTTCGGAATAAGAACGCCGACCTAAACTTTTAAGAGAAGTAAATCGAGAGCTAAGAACAACTAGATTGCTCTTGGGTATGAATCCTTGAGTTGAGAATCCGATCTAAATCTTCTCGGTAAGCAATCTGTTTGGCACGGAGGGATTCGAAGCGAGCATCCATTCCCTGCTGTAGCTGTGCTGCGACCGACCTGATGATGGTGGCCATGTCGATGGGAGGCGGTTATGACAGGTTGGTCGTGTTCGTTCCACCGGTGCGGCCGACCTGATCTGTCGCGCCTGTCGTGTCTTCTTGCTGATTGGTCACATTGATCACGGGGAGTCCAGTGACTGGGTCGACGACCGGACCCTGGGCATTTCTCGTTGGATCGACAGTTCCCCCTGCAAGATCGGTTGGTCCTTCTGTGAGGTCGGTGGTGTTGATCGGTGTTTCAACCATCTTCGAACTTCGTTCTAAGTCAAAGATTGTTCTCTTATTCCCCACAGACGGCGCCAACTGTAAAAACTCAAGTCCGATCTACGAAAGCATTAAGGTTTGTGGGTTTAAAGAGAAGTCTTTTATTAGAAGAAGTCGGAGCTTGAATCAATACACAGAGGTTTAGGTCTTCGGAATAAGAACGCCGACCTAAACTTTTAAGAGAAGTAAATCGAGAGCTAAGAACAACTAGATTGCTCTTGGGTATGAATCCTTGAGTTGAGAATCCGATCTAAATTTTCTCGGTAAGCAATCTGTTTGGCACGGAGGGATTCGAAGCGAGCATCCATTCCCTGCTGTAGCTGTGCTGCGACCGACCTGATGATGGTGGCCATGTCGATGGGAGGCGGTTGTGACAGGTTGGTCGTGTTCGTTCCACCGGTGCGGCCGACCTGATCTGTCGCGCCTGTCGTGTCTTCTTGCTGATTGGTCACATTGATCACGGGGAGTCCAGTGACTGGGTCGACGACCGGACCTTGGGCATTTCTCGTTGGATCGACAGTTCCCCCTGCAAGATCGGTTGGTCCTTCTGTGAGGTCGGTGGTGTTGATCGGTGTTTCAACCATCTTCGAACTTCGTTCTAAGTCAAAGATTGTTCTCTTATTCCCTACAGACGGCGCCAACTATAAAAACTCAAGTCCGATCTACGAAAGCATTAAGGTTTGTGGGTTTAAAGAGAAGTCTTTTATTAGAAGAAGTCGGAGCTTGAATCAATACACAGAGGTTTAGGTCTTCGGAATAAGAACGCCGACCTAAACTTTTAAGAGAAGTAAATCGAGAGCTAAGAACAACTAGATTGCTTAATCTGCCTTAGGTCTCGAGAGGTGATTTTTTGATGCTCTGAGAAGTCGAGGGTTTCCCATATTTATAATTGATCAGGTCGGTCTTTGATGTGTGTTTAGAATAGGAAGGTCTCTTTGCCGACAATAAGGAACTTCCTTTTTCCCGGATTCGTTCGATAAATGGAAAGTTTCTATTTGTTTAGCCGACCTGAAACTTGTAGAATGGGCCGACCATAATTCATATCGGGCTTGTAGAGATGGTACGAATCTCATCTCTAACAGTATGTTTCCCGTTTTCGAAACGTTTCAGAAACGGAGACTCTCGGAAACTCGTCGGAAACACGAAAAATCACGTTTCCTAAAAATTCTAATTTGGAAACACTTTGGAAACGCGTTTCCATTTTAGAAACACGCGTTTCTATTTTGGAAAGAAGATAAAACTAATTTTTTATTTTTATGGAACAAATAGCTAATTATAAAAATTAAATTAAATGATCAATTTAATTATTTATAGTAAATAATAAATATTTTGATTTGGTAATTAAGATTAATTTTGATATTATTAAATTTTAAAATTATTCTGTCGATGAATTAGAATTAGAGATAGTTTGGTTAACGAAACTAATAAAATTGATAATAAAGAAAATCTTTTAAATTTTTGACTTTACATATTTTAATTTTTATAGTTTAATAATTATGTAAAAATTATTTATTAGATTTTATTGATTTAAATATTCTACTTATAATATAATTAGATCTTTAATACTTAATATATATATATATATATACGTTTCCAAAACGTTTCCATTTCTATATTTTTTAAAAATGGTGTTTCTACGTTTCAAAACGTTCCGCTTCCACGTACCCGTTTCCGTTTCCATGAAAAGATATATAACAAGTTTTGCATTTATTTTAGAGAAATACACGTTCAAGAACTTTGGTAGTTTCCAATTCAATTTATCTATTACTATAGTCTAATTTTTTGTCTGTTACATTATGTAGACTTGAAATACTAAGGTGAGAGTATTGGATTTAGAAATTGGATTGAATTATAAGAAACTGAAAATTTCATTAAATATCAATGTTAATTATTCAATGATATATTTTATTAATTTTTTTAAATATTTGTGTTATTGGATTAAGTAATTTTATTTATTCTTTTAAAATCCTTTAAATATCATTGTTATTCAATATACTAATTTTCTAATTCTATTAAATATCTGTGTTATTCAATTTTGTAATAGCTTTGATTGTATTATTATTTGAAAAGAATTTAATAGAATCTCACATAAAAATTGTGAAGAACCAATTTCTACCATTTTCTACTCTGATTTTGATAGAATTGGTTTAAATTCCAACAAAACATGAAATTACTTAGAAATCAATTATTTTTGAATTCTTGTATATTTTATCTAATTCAATAATCCAATATCACTCCCTAAATTGAGTGTTAGAAAATAATAAATATTCATTGGTTTTTTCTTTATAAAAAAATGTGCTATCTGCATGCACTTAATCTTCCATATGTTATTATCATCTAGAAAGAACACAGTTGGGCAATTAACTCGTTGTACTTTTCGGTTGTTAGCAGAGAAATAGAAGTTAATGAGTTATGCAAAAGTCACTTGCTAATTTTGTAAATTTGATTTTTAAAATTATAATACCGTCACTAATATAGAAATAATGTAGCTCCAACTACGGACTGCTCTTAATCAACAAGTTTTTAATTCACTACTAAAAATCTTTGGTGGAAAATGTACGATTGTCATTAAATGAATATCTATTCAGAAAACTAATGAATTATGATGGAATCGACATCTAGAGATCTACATAGTAAAGCCCGAGGAGCTTGGAGCAACACTCAACTTTGATTTTTATGACCCTACTTTTCTTCTGTTGTGTCGAGCTTTTAATTTCATTTGTGGGTTTTGTAGGCAAGATTTTAAAATTTAGTACTTTTTAAATGTACTATATATATAGTAGTACTATTTATTTTTTTTTAAATCACATGTTCGTTTCTATCTTTTTCTTCAAAAATTGTAAGTTAGTAGTAGTACTTCTAATAAATGTGTAAATGTATTTTTGAAAATCACATGGTTGTTTTACATTTTGAAAATCATATTTACAAAACTGTGCTAAACGCTCATAATCTTGTTTTACAAAAATGAACTCTTTTCCGGCCCAATTGATGACAGCCCAACTAAATATCGAGTGTCTTACGATCTATACCATACCAGACGAACCAATTTTTAATTTCGGATTGGACCCGGTTCAATCTCACTCCCTCTCTCATCTTCGACCTCGACCTACTCCACCTTCGTCACCCATTTTTTCTCTCGGCCACTGCTAATTGGGATTGTCTACAAATTTAAATCCCCGGAAGAATCAGCGCCGCTCTCCTCCTCGCTCTGCTCTTGGAACCCGCTGGTACGCTTTCTCCGATCTAATGATTGTGCGATTGTTCTTCGATTTCGCCAAAGTCTGTTCTTTTCGTTGACATCCTATTTTCGAATCTAATTGATCATTAAGGGTTTAACCAGCTAGCATTGACTTATTGTGTTGCTCATGATTTTTTGTGATCATTAAACTTCGATAAGCTAGAATTCTTGCAAAGTTTGGTTTTCTTCATCCTCAAATCTGGAGATTCTTTTTTCTGTAAGTGTTCTACTGAGTTCATGAAATTTCTTTTCTGATCGTGTTTATGTTCCGAGAAGATTTCATTTCGTGTATAGTACTTTAGTTTTTTGTTGACCAAACAAAACAAAAAAAAGTACTTTAATTTAGACGAATAACGATTCTGTATTTGGTTTATTGGGAGTTTTGTGATCATCCACATTCCAACTAGCTTCAGAGAGGCTTAAGATTAATCAAATCAGAGTTCTCTTTGGAATTGTTTTATAGGGTAAACAAAGATGAGTGGTGAAGTTGTTTTAGCTGCTAGAGTGTACCGTGACATTCTTAAAGCAGTGGTAAAACACGTTGGAAAAGAAGAGCACAAGGCTCATTTCACAGACTTTGTAAAGCAGGAATTTCGGAAGAACGCAAACTCAGACTCGAGCCGAGAGAAACTTAACCTCGCACGCAACTACACATATCTTCTGAATAGCATTCATTCTCACAAGGTGCAGTCTTTTTTTTTATGTCTCTTAATCAAATTGGCGCTTTGCACAAATTGGCGCTTTGCACAAATTGGAAGCTTGCACATCATGTTTGCTCCATGATGAAAACAAATATGCAACCTTTCTCTCTGCGCAAACATGATTTAAGAAAGAAGCTACGGGTCATTAGAAACAATGCTTGTTTGATATATATATACAGAGACTTGGCTTTTTTATTGTCTCATGGATAGGCAAATTGGTTATTGCAGGATCTGCTGTTCTCATACAACATTGCGGTTGATAGAACTGAAGAAATGAAAAAAGTGCTTGGGAAATCTGCAGCTAGTGTAGGGCTTCGTCTTCCCAATGTTTACCAGCCTTGATCATGCAGCGCACAGACATTCCTCTTTTGTCTTTCCGGGAGATAAGCCACTCTGCTTTCTTCATTTTTATGGACAGATCGTGGGTGAATTTGGAATAAGATTGATCCTCTTTGGAGCCAGAGAGCTCTTGCATTGACAGATCTTACATGTGTGGATTACAATTTTCGTTTTGTGTTGTTACTGCATTCGTTTTGGGACAAGAATATGGTACCAAGAACATATTACTCAGGTTCTTGATATATATGCTATGTTGTATGAAGCCACCAAAGTGAAAGAAGTGATGTCAAGTTGTGATAAAATTAAAATCTTTCTTGCTAATCAAATAATAGTTATAGTTATGTTTGTTCCTCAGTAACTTGTTTGCTAGGTCTTGAAAGACAAGTTTTTATACTTGAAATAGCTTCCGACTTCATCAGCATTCTGATATTGTATATGGAATGTTATTTACAAAAGAAACCAACTCTTGCTAGTATAAATCTAAAGCGATTTAGAGAAAATTGCTCTCGGTCTATCTATATTTGGATTACTAGCAGAATGGTCAACGAGATTATGATAAGAATGTAGAAAAAGACTAACCAACAAAACACTATGGGTTTTATCCGAATCTCAAAAAGCTATCCACAGCTTAAAACTTATCCGGTTCCTGTATTTTTCTGTATTTCTTTATTTATTTAGTGGAGATTTCGATGCTCGCCATTTTAGTTTCTTAATCATTCTTAAAGCTCTTGAGGGTTTGGTAAACTCGTTTCTTTCTCCCTTAATTTAAGAGCTGAGATCAATAGAGAGAGGTTTGAGCTAAGCATAGCAGAGAAGAGAGATGGGGAAAGGAGGAATGTCTCAGGGAGAAGAATCAAAGGTGGAAGAAGAGAACATGGCTGCTTGGCTTGTTGGTGTCAACACCCTCAAGATCCAACCTTTTCTTCTTCCTCCCGTTGGTAAGCCAAATTCCAATTTTCATCGCCTTCTCATGGCTTTTGATTAGATTTTCCATTGATTAAGTTTATGTTGGTATAAAGGTCCTCATGATGTGAGAGTTAGGATGAAAGCTGTTGGGATTTGTGGAAGTGATGTTCATTACCTCAAGGTACTCTATATATAGAGAGAGTTTTCTTTATTTCTTGATTTGTTATGGTCTTGACATTGGTTTTGATGTTACAAAACAAGACCATGAGATGTGCGGATTTCATAGTGAAAGAACCGATGGTGATCGGACATGAATGTGCTGGGATCATTGAAGAAGTAGGTGAAGAAGTGAAGCATCTAGTGATAGGTGACCGTGTGGCTCTTGAACCTGGGATAAGTTGCTGGAGATGCAATCTCTGCAAGGAAGGAAGATACAATCTTTGTCCAGAGATGAAGTTCTTTGCAACTCCACCGGTTCATGGCTCTCTAGCTAACCAAGTGGTTCACCCTGCGGATCTATGCTTCAAGCTGCCTGAGAATGTGAGTTTGGAGGAAGGAGCAATGTGTGAGCCGCTAAGTGTTGGTGTTCACGCTTGTCGTCGAGCCGAGGTTGGTCCTGAGACTAACGTGTTGGTGATGGGAGCTGGACCTATTGGCCTTGTCACCATGTTGGCTGCTCGAGCTTTTGGTGTGCCTAGGATTGTTATTGTTGATGTTGATGAGAACCGATTATCAGTAGCCAAACAGCTCGGTGCACACGGTGTTGTTAAAGTCACAACAAGCTTAGAGGTTCTTGCACTTTCTTAACTTCCAACATCTTTCTGAAACATAAATAATATCTGATTGTATAGGATAAGAACTTGTTCCTTTTTTTACTTCTGCAGGATGTTGGATTTGAGGTTGAACAGATTCAGAAAGCTATGGGGTCAAACATCGATGTGACATTCGATTGTGCCGGTTTTAACAAAACCATGTCGACGGCATTAGCAGCTACTCGATGTGGTGGTAAAGTCTGCCTTGTGGGAATGGGTCACGGTGTGATGACTGTCCCTCTCACTCCTGCAGCTGCAAGGTAAACTTCTTTTGACCATCAAAGGAACTTACAAACTTTGGAAAAACGATTCTGAAACAACTTTGTGTTTTTGGTTTTGAGACAGGGAGGTTGATGTGGTAGGTGTGTTCAGGTACAAGAACACGTGGCCTTTGTGTCTTGAGTTCATTACAAGTGGTAAGATCGATGTGAAGCCACTCATAACACACAGATTCGGTTTCTCTCAGAAGGAAGTGGAAGATGCCTTTGAAACCAGTGCTCGTGGGAGCAATGCCATCAAAGTTATGTTCAATCTGTAAACTTTTCTAAGAACCATATTTCAAGAGTTTCTGTAGTAAGAATGCTTCTGTAACTTTGTTTATTGTATCATCATCATCACACTAGTTCAACTGGACATTTAAACTCAGAATCCTTCTTGAAAAGATAAAAAATCCTTTATTATGACAATTCTGACAATACAAATCCTCAAGTATTACAAGACACCGAGAATGCTGAAACTGGACAAAAAAAGGGACCAAAACACTCTCAATTTCTGTCTCAAAAACTCCTAAACATGGCAACAATTTTGGCCACTTGCCCAAATCTCATCAGACCATGGCCTTTTACTAAGAGGACACATCAATAAGTGAAGAGAAGAAAAAAACTCAGTAGACTCATATATAATGGTACAAGAAGATCGTAGGAGAGAACTCTGTCCTCAAGACGTAGCTGCGGTTGGCGTAGTCGACCACTTCCATACTTTAACTTGACCGGTTCCATCGCCCGTGAAGAATATGCCACCTGGACCAATCTGGACCGACCGTATCTCTTGCTTTGCAAAGATTTTTCCTCTCTCCGTGAATCTAACAAATGAAAAACCTAAAGCTTCAGAAAGTAAAGGAGGAAGAATTGTAGATACGGAAAAAAAAACAATTGATGAACTGTTGCAAGACTTACGATGGTAAGTCGTAGAGACGCAAGGAATTATCATTGCAAGAGCATAACAAAACCGGTTTGGCTTCTGCATCATGTACGCCACAAAGAGCTAACACTCCCTGAATCCAATTTACCAGAACTTTTGTTAGTTACACTACATATAAGATTGAAAACCAAAAGAGACGATGATAACAAGTTTAGAAAGAAACCATACATGTTCTTCTTTGTGAGTGTATGTCACTTCCAAGTTGCCACCTTCAATTGCAGCCCATATCTAAGGCCGAGAGAAAGTAAAAAAAAAGTGTGTCAGCACAATTTTCACAAGATTATCTGAGATAGGATAGTTAACGTGGATGAACCTAACCTTAACAGTGTTGTCCAACGAGCAAGACAAAAGAAACTGATCCCAGCAAATGAGAGACATCACTACTGATGTATGATCAGTGAGCGTTTGTATACACTGAAGATTATCCAGGCTCCAAACCTACAAACACACATTAAACAAAAACAATTAGCCCAAACAAAAAACAAAATCCGGTTTGCCTTGGAGATTACTAGTACTTACTTTTATAGTTTTATCCATGGAACCCGAGTAAAGCCGGTTCGCCCCAACGTATAAGGTAACAACCGCAAGCGTGTGGCCATTCAGTGACGCCGCCGGTTCAAAGCAGTTTGTGGCAGCATTAAATCTCCATGCCAATATAGAGCCATCCTGCACAGAAAGCAAACAGCTTATTAAGACTTATTTAACCAAAAAGCCATTAATACAGATGTTTCAGCGCAGAGATCTCAGCAAGAAAGAGCTTGTAATATTCACCTGTGTGCCAGCAAAGAGTAGATCAGTACCCACAACAAGAGAATACACTTGGCCAACAGGTCCATTGAGACTCTGGTCTGCATTAGTTTCCATATTCCACGCCTGTATCAACAAACAACAACAGTAAATAACCCAACAAGCATAAAGCCAATTCTTGGAAAAAGTAAATGCCAAGAGTAAAAACCATTCTCAGAAGAACTTACCTTTACAAGATTTGGCATGCCAACCAATAGCCACGGTCCTTCACTGATCACACAGCCAATTTCTCCACCCAGATTGAGTACGCTTGTACACTAATCAAAGAGAAAAACAACAATAAGGAAACTTAAAACAGTCTTAAGCCACTACTTAACAATACTATAGTGGACAAATTTGACAAATTCTATCAAAAGATGAATAGCATTGAGGAAGGCTACAAAACATAAACTAAAAGGCTCTATCTTAAACAAAACAGAATAGAATCAATACCTGTCCAGAAGCACAATCCCAAACACGCATCGTCTCATCTTTACTCCCAGTGTAAAGCTTATCAGATCCAGAAGGCAGAGCAATCCCACTAACGAGCTTCTCATGCCCATCAAGCTGAGTCAAGAGCGCAAAGCTATCTCCTTTGCTCCAGCAATGCAAGTATCTACACTTATCACCGTAGGTACAATTCCCATCGACCCAGAAATTGCAGAGCTTCTCCGTCTTCGTCACCGTCCTGTTCCCACCGAATCTCCCCCAGCTACTACTAGAGCTCCCGTTAAACCCAGGTCCTCTCCGGTGACTCGGACCGGCGAAACTGGATTCCTCGGCGACCCTTTTGTTCGTGTAACCCGGACCCTGATTCGGAACCGGACCCGGTAACTCTCGGTGTAGGAAAGGGCAAGGAGACCGGTTGCACCGTCCCGCTCGCCAGTGGTAACAAACCTTCTGCCTTGTATCCGTTGGCGCCGCCGGACGAGCCGACCCGCCGAGTCGATTGAAGACTCGTTTGTTTCCTCCGTTCAAATCGAAATCCATGGCGTTTTTTTAGTATCGTCTCACTCTCTCTCACTCTTTCTATGGATTACAATGAAGGGTTGTGGTTTTTATATTTGAAACGGATCGGGATTTTGCTCAAAATCCGATCGAAGAAATCAAAAATCAAAGCGGCAAAATTGGAGGAAACCCTAGAAAATTCCCAAATAAATCTCTCTCAAAAGTGGGTTTTTTTTCTTAATAATCGAAAATATGGAGGGGAAATTTGGGGATTTTGTTGTGAAAGTGAAGTAACAATAATGGAGAGAAACCTAAAAGAAGCGGATTTGTGTTTATAAGCTTCGGATCTTCCTGGGAAGACAGAAGTAGTAGAGAGAGAGAGAGAGAGAGAGAGAGAGAGAGAAACAGTCGCGTCAGCTTGACGTGAATGGTTTAGTTATCATTTTACCCCTTAGGATGTTTTCATATTAGAAACTTCCTTTTAATGTTTCTCTCGTATATTATTGGTCTGGCTATGGTTAAAACCGGTTCTTGTATTCCTATTAATTTTGAAGCACAAACTAGAAAGTAGAAAGCATTGGACTTGGTTGAAACTTGAAAGTTGAGACATTTTGTAGGCTAGTTACGTATATTTTAGATCTAATGTTTAATTTATTATTGGATTAAAAGAAAAACGTTACAGACAACAAAACCGGTTAAACCGAAAAAAGTTTCTATGTGAAAAATCAACCAACAAGTTGGAGAATTAGACTTTTCTAAAGACTTTTGCATCCATTCAATGAAGTGCAGTGAATTTGGCGAGCCAAGAAACTCAAACTTCTTGAGTGAAAGAACATTGAAGAAGAAACTTTGGTGAGGAAACAAGTTTCTCTAATAAAGACATTCTCCAGCTAATACCTAAGTGTGTTTAGCAGAAAAATATTATAAGAATGGTGTTCAGTGACTTTTTTTCCTTCTAGATTAAACATTATGATGCAGATATATTATTGGTTAACATCATAAAGCTCACTCTTATTGCGTTGTAAAGACAAATGTAAGCAAACCCATTAACTCTGCCACCAACAACAATTGTCACAAAATAATCATCTAGAGAAGCGCCCATCTGATTGATATCCTCCGGTTTGACATTTTCCGAATCAGATTCGGATCCTTCAATCTCAGGCTCAGGTTCTTCCACGAGCATATTATGGAGTCTACAAACCACAACGTGGATCATGCTACCATTAAAGATACATATGCATAGTTTCATGCTTTTAAGACTGATCATTTGATATAGTATTTGGTAAAAATTGTTAATACTATTATTCACATCGAAACCAAGCAAAATCGACAACACAAAATTGTAAACTTTGATACTCTAATTTGATCAAATTTTGGTTACAAAGAATAAACGAGAAAAGAGTTAATGAACATTTTGACAATACGATTTATTAGCCTCGTATTTTTTTTTTGTTCCATTACTCTCTTTTTTCGTACCGTACTACCAGTCAAAAAATCAGGTAAAAGGAACTTGGGACCAATCCTAGAAATCCAAAATATCTTTAAAATTATCAGAAATAATTAAATAAAGAAAAGAGAATTCAACCGCTAAAAGTTCCAAAGTGACACGTCATCAACTCCCTCCCAGTCGTTTTGATTCCATCCTACTTCCGGCGGCGGCAAGAGCATTCCCTCCGCCATATCCTCGAAAAAGCTTGGCATCCCTAAAACCTCTTCTTCGTCCATATATAACGCATTGCTCTGCTCCGCCGTCTCTCCCACCGTCTCCGCCTCCGTAGTTTTCGCTCCCTCCGTCGCTGTCATCTCATTCTCATTCGTCGCAGTCGTCTCGTTCTGAAACGCCATTGCAGCTTCAGCCGCAGCTTTCTGGATTTCTTTAGGACAAGTAGACTCCGGAATCCGAAGCCGCCAGGCCGAATCGGCGAAATTGAGACAAGCAGAGCGACCACGGAGGGCTAAAGCGGCGACGTCGTGAGCCCGAGCGGCCATTTCTACGGTCGGAAAAGTCCCAAGCCAAATCCTCGATTTCTTGTTCGGCTCTCTCACTTCACAAACCCATTTCCCTGAGTTTCTCTGACGAACTCCTCTGTAAATCGGATGACGTGTCTCACGAAACTTCTTCCTCCCTGCTCTTTTCTTCGGACAGCTCGAAGCTAGCTTCGGAGAACACTCGCTACTGTCTGAAACCGGAGATCTGTTGTCGGGAATCGAGAGGAAAGAGTCTGAGAAAGCTGTGTAAAAAGGATTCATCGAGCAAACCGAAAACAGAGAGTATCTTGATTTTTGGATAAGATGTTTAATTTCTCTTTCTTTCTTTTTTTGTTCAGATGTGGGAGCTTTTTGGATTTAAAGTGTTTTTAATTTAATTGAAAGAGAAGAAGTTTCGCTGTTTTATAAGGTGTAATAAAGTAGAACACGGAGTATCTGGAAACGACAACTGTCCCACGGCTTACGACTGACACGTGTCCTTTCTTTACTTAGTCTAGAGTATATGTGTAGTGTGTACTGTGGTAGTGTGGAGCTGCCTTGTCACTATTTGATGATTCAGTTTTAAAATCACTGTTTGATTATTAAATTGGTTTTTCTCCTTTTCTTTTCCAGATTTGTTATGTTCGTGGAAAGGGGACGGACGAATAATGAAAAGGACAAAAGACGCTTTAGTTTTGGAAAAAAATAGACAAGCTTCAAGATGACGTCACGGGGACACGGTTTCGACAATTGGATCGTAACAGGTTTCTCTTTGGTTCGGGAGGCGCGCCACGTTATGGTGGACGGTGCGTCCGCTGTCTAGCCACGGTTTGTGGTTTTGTGATTGATGACCCCACGCGCTTTTTGCATGTGGGTCCCTTTATTGTTTATTTTTGGAAACTTTTATGATTCTGTGAGATCTTTTTCTCGTTTGTTTTGTACTCAAAACTAGAAACTAGTCAACTATTTTTAGTACATTTTATATATTGGCCAGATTTTGCATTCGTGTCCTCATGAGGTTGAGTTTTCTTTCGTTATGTCCTCGAATGAATTTAAAACTAAAAGGGAATAAATACTTAAGCTAACCGTTACTGATAAAGACTTGACATTGGGATTTTCAGTTTGGATACTTTTAAGTTTTATGAAATGTACAAGTCCGAAATAGAACTGGGAACCCGGCTTGGTTTGAGTAAAGAGGTAGAAAGTAGAACCAATTAATTATAGTTTTTTTCTTTTCGAGCAAACGAAATTCATTGCAAATTATTAACTTCATTTCAAATGATTAGATATTTGAGCAAACGAAATTCATTGCAAATTATTAACTTCATTTCAAATGATTAGATATTTGAAAATATCTTCTGTTTAAGATAGATGTTTTGTATTTTTAGGTGTAGTTGTAGATTTTATTTAATTTTTATTTCTTATATTAGATATAAAATCCATGTTTTTTAGTGGAAATTTATTTTTTTAATAAGTAATTTACATAATTATTATTTATATTTTGTTCTTATATATCAAAAACATTTTTATACATGAATAAAATATTTAAATAAATAAAATTTATTTCAAACATATTTATTTAATGAACTACAAAAATAATTGAAAACAGAAATATGGACACTCATAATTTATTTGAAACTATGTAAGAAAATAATCAACATTGAATATATGATTGCAAGGTAGTTTTAGAAGAATTTATTCATTACTATTTTTTTCTTGGTAAATCATGCACATATTATTTTGTTCTTCTTTATTCTTTCTTTCTATCAAAAATGTTATTCTTTCCAAGTAATTAATAACATTTTCAGTAGGAAGCTTTGGTACAGAAAAAAATCTCCCATATATTCCCAAATATTCTAAATATTCTTATAAATGACATTTTGATGAATATGTAATCTTAATGATAATGTCATGATTTTTGAATGTGAGTAATTATTTGACTCGATCATCTAACAAATCATAAGTATAAGATTCATTAGAATCGTATTTTCTCTTCAACTTTAATTAATCATTCATCTATTAAAGAATTATAAAAATCTTCTCCATCTATATACTCCTCTTCGAATATAAGATAAATGACATTAAAAATAAATGATTTCAATATTGGTATTGAAACGAAGTTACTATATAACTTAAAAATTATAATAATTGTTCTACCGTACTTATTTTTTAACAATTCGTCCAATCTAATGCTATTGGAAGAAGAAGTTTCATTTTCCATACTAATTTTTAAAAAATTGAAACCAACAAATATCAATCTGTTATTAAAAAGTGAAAATATATTATTCTTGATTAATTAAGAATAATATACTTAAAATATAATTGGAATAAAAAAATAAATGATCAAGACTACAGAAATTACAAAGCAAAATCCTTTATATATATATATATATATGAATAAAAGTACTAGAACTCATAAAAACAGAATACACAATACAATTTGATAAAAATGTGTGTTACGAGTTTACTATTTATGCAATTATATAAACTAAACTGAAAATATATATGGTAAATTTTATGGATTAAATAATAGTAGAAAAGCATAATACCAACCATTAATCAAAACAGGTTAATATACGAAAAATTTGCTAAATAAATCGGTGATCAAGAAAACAATACCCAGTAATTTCCCCATGATAAGTGGATAATAGTGGTGAAAGACAAGAACTAAAAAGCGAGGGTGAAAAATATTCTTTATTAACACGATCAAGTTTAAGGGACCTGTATACATAAACGAAACCAGTGTGAGAGATGAGATGACACCAAGTTTAATAGTTTTAAGCAATATAAATAATTTTGAGAAGACACAAATTCAGTTGCAATGAACAGACACAACCATTTATTACTCTCTCCCTTTCAGAAAGAGTGTCATTTTGACACATTTCACAGTAATTCAGAAACTTAATAAAAAAGTCTTTTCTATCCATTATGAATATATTATATAACTATGTAAAAAAAAGAATATATTATACAACTTTCTCTTTCTAATTAATGCACTAAATTACAAAGTTAAAACTAGATTTCTATTTAAAAAATTGCATTTGAAATACAAAATAATATTTTTTATGAAACAAAGACAAAACTCTAAAACGACATTTTTTATAAAACAGAAGGAGTATATATTATGCATCCATTTATAATGAAAATACATAACCACAAATTTTAAAATGATAATACAAAATGCAATATAGTAAAAAAGTAAAAATCAGACCCAATTAAAAATTTATGTGGTTTTGAGCAATATAAATAATTTTAAAAATATAACAATTGTGCTGAAAAAACGCAACTATTTATAATGAAAAAACCTAACCATTTATAATGAAAAAACAGAACCACAAAATTTGAAACCACACAACTTATCAAAATGTTAATGACACTTATTCAAATAGTTATTATAGATAGATTTATTGATTAATTTTTATTTTTAAAACGTAAGTGATAACAAAAGCTTTACCCGTTAACTATTATGTAATTATGATTCACACTAATGAAAGTCAGACGTTAAAAGCAAAATAGTAAGTACTAAAAACAAAGATAAAATTATAAACATAAATAATTTTGTATAAAAAGATCTAAGATATCTAATAATTTGAAACGGATCAGTTGTTTATTAGTAGCTTTGAGTAAAGGATAAGTTAAAGTTGGATTTAAAAATCACATAATTGTTTTTTCTTACACCAAACATAATTCTTCAACAACATTTTTCTGGAGTGTGCACAGAGTAACAATTTTTTTTCATACTACAACCATTAGAATTTGCAAATTAGATTTCAAAAACTTAACTAAATATGGAGACAATAAATTACATATTTTGACTATATATAAAAGAACATAGTCAAAATATGTAATTTGGTCAAACATAATGAGGTAAGAAAATTATTCTATATGTGCGTATATTTTTTTTTTCATCAACATATAATTTTCTTTTGACTATACATCTATGAGTAAATAAACTGAAATCAAAGTTTGACCATAAAAAATACCTTTTACATATATTTATATTAATATATATAGCCAGTCTAAACAATTATAAAATTCATTAAAAAGGTAAAAAAAAAATACTTTTCTGAAAAATTAAAAAACACCATAAAAATGGTTTTCAACATAAAACCTTTAGTTACATTTGTTTTCGCTATCCTATTCATCATATCTTTTGTTCATTGTAGTACAACAACTTTTAATACTCAAGGTACCAATTTGTTGTTATACCACAATTTGATAATCATCAACATGATTTTGTCCTTTTTAATGAATATACATATGTATTGGTTTAATGATTTTTATTAATATATAGGATATGAAACAAATAATATCGATACTCACTGCAACCCTCCTAGAAGAGAACCATGTAGTCCTGGAAGATGCCGAGCTTTTTGTATGTTACGAGGTTTTGATCTTAGCTGGTGTACGGCTACCAAAGTATGTTGCTGTGGTTTGTCTGCTGCATCTACTCCCATTCAAAAATAATCTACTCAAATGTATTGGCATATGCCTAAAAAAAAAATTAATATTACTATCTATATAATAAAGTAAAAAAAAAAAATTCAGAAGCAATTCTAATATACTGGTATGCATCACTTTAAAAACTGATATTTTTGATATTTTGTTCTTTACTATAAGTTTGACTGCAGTTATTTACTATAAGTTTGACTGCAGTTATGTTATTTTAAAAAATAACTAGGTGATGACCTGTGTGTACACACAAATTTATATATTATTATATATTTTAGATTTGTGATTAATATAATATTTTATTTTAAATATAATAAAAAAATAATTTTAAAGTTGTTAACTATATAAATATAAAAATATTGTAATTTTATGCATTTTCGATTATAGAATTTTTCATACAGTATTACTAAAAATACTGTAATCAAATTCTTGAATTATTTTTTACTATTGAATATGCATTTTATACATGCAATTTTTTCTACTAAGATATATTGTTATAACCTTATAGATTAATGATTTCATTAATAAATTTTGTATCATTTCCATTAGATATAATTCAAGAATTTGATTTCAAAAATTGATATAAAATCAATATTTTTATTATCCGAATTTTTCTGTAAGTTGTGTTTAATCAATATTAGTAATATAGTATCACCCGTATTTCTATGATCATAAATTAATATTTTTAAATTTGTTAAATTTTCTTAAAGTAACTAAAATTGGTTAATTTTAATTTTTGCAACCAATAAATTTAATTCTTGCAACAGATAAGTTAGGTTAATTTTAGTATCACCCGAATTTATATGATCAAGAATTAAAATTAACACTAA